ACTTAACCCTGTGCAGGGAGGGTTGGGCACCCCAGTTTTTCTGGTATGGACACTCCTGCACTTGAGACCCTTTGATTTCATCTCATGTATGTCTGGATGTTTATCTGGATCCCTTAAAATATCCCTCATGGGAGAGCAGAAGAAACTTTTGCTGCTGATGGGTGGGTTTGAGGCACGCGTGATGGTGGTGAACTTCCAGGTATACACAGCCCTATATTAATGATGAGAACGTGTGCTGAGAATGCTGAGAGGTGCATCCTCTGGCAATGCAGTCATTGTGTGACTGTCTTAGAGTGTATTCCGCAGACCTACGGGGCATAACCCACTACACACAGTCAGTTTCATGTAAGGACCCTCATAGTGTAGGTGGCTGCTCCCTGAAACCTCATTTGTCAACTTTGGGGGCAATGGATTGCCCTGTTCTCTCCCCTGTCTTATGAATTCAAGAAGAATTGTTGGCTTTTCAGCCTGTTCAGCCATTTACTTGTTGTTTTTTTTTTTTTTTAAAGATTCATTTATTTATGCAAGCAAGAGCTGGGGTGCAGGCCAGAGATGGAGGGGGTGAGAGGATTCACCAGAGACAGAGTGGGAAGCAGAACAGGCAGATCTACTGAAATACACAGCTGAGGGGGAGCAATGGGGAGACAGGGGAGGTCTGCTGCGCCATGTGGGTATCTCCCTGGCGCAGGGATTGAACTCATGCTGCAGAGGCTGCGGATAGCTTCATAGCACTGTGCTTAACCCCTTGCGCCACCAGGGAGGCCCCCAGCCTTTTACTTGTTAAGATGAAGTGACAACTTCCAAAATGGCAGAACCAGAACCTGGAAGTTCTGTCTACATATTTTGATATAAACTTCAGAGGAAGCTCTGCCTGGCCAACACCTTAACTTTGGACTTCCTGCCTCCAAAGCAGTGAGGGACTGCATTTCTGTTGTTTTAAACACAATTTATGTTTTTTTGTTTTTTTTTTTTAACACAGCAGCCCCTTGGACCAGTGCACCAGTTTGTTTTTTTTTTTTTTTTTTCATGGCCATTTAAGCTCCATGAAGAGAGGGTCTGGTCTCTTATCAGTGCCCAGCACGGGGCTGATGCTTACTATGTATCACTGATACTAGATACTAGTGGGAAATGGTATTGACCCCATGTTTCAATAGTTTCCCCAACACTGTATAAGGTATTGTACAATATCCGTACTACAAAATGCAGATCTAATGTGCAAGAATCAACTTGTCTTGCAAGCCCTGTCTCTTTATTAGAAGAATCATTAGGCAGCTGAGCATAACATTGGGCTGGGGATAGAAAACCTGGCAGCAATCCTGACTTTACCATTGCCTCAGAAGCCTAAGGCAAGAGCCATCACTTCTGTGGCTCAGTTTCCCAAGCCATGAAAAGAAAATCCTGCCCGCTTTCTGCCTACTAAGGAGGATCCTTGTAGGGCGGGGGAGGGGGGGTGTTGGCGGAGCCTATAAAGGGCTTCACATTACTTAGGAGAAATATAAAATGGTCCCACCTTATTTGTTGTATTCTTCGGAAATCAGTTTAAATTTCTGTTTCTCTTTCACTTTCCCTATCAGGATTCTTCACACCACTCATCAAAATGTAAGAGACATAAGCTACTGGTTAATCGTTATCTCCATTTTACAGATGAAGAAACTTAACGCAGAAGGGAGTTGTGTTTAAATGAGCAAAGTCATTCACCAGCAGAATTCCAAAAAGATGCTGTGAGTCCAAAACAAAGTGACTTTGTGAAACCATCTGTTCTCCAGCTGCAAAGGCCGTTCTCTAAAATGCAGCGAGTATTTTGAACCATTTTTCACTGTGGCAGAAGTCAGTCACGCTGTGGGATTTAGGGAAGACCTAGATCAAGCCTCCCCATGAAGAGATGCCTTTTCATTCTTCCTGGTAAGTAGAGTCTGAGTGGGTTACAACTTTAGCATTTGCAAAGTTAGGGTAAATGAGAATAGTTAGAGATGACTTGGGTCTTTCAAGTCATAACAACGGCCACAAGGAAGATGGATGACTTTGGGGAAGATAGTTGTACCTCTGAAGGTGACCAAGGATAAACACAAAAGAGCAAACCGGGTCCAATTGTCGACTACTTTTCATATCTAGGCAACCAGAATCAGGCACTAATCTAATGATGCAACTTAACTCAGATGGGGGGTGGGTGGGGAGTGGGTGGAGAGATGCAAGGGCTGGAGATGAGACAAGAATGGCAGAATGTAGAGAATTGCTAGAACTGGGTGATGGGTACATGGGAACTCATTACACTAATGTACTTTCTTCATATATGTTTGAAATTTGCCAAAATAAGAAGTAATTTAGTCTAATAGCAAGTTGCTAATCAACTTTGCAAAAGGCTCAGATGGTCTTCCATGCCTTATTATCTTTGAGAGATTTTGTTGCTAGAATAAAAATAGCCAACTAGCCTTCTACCCTGTTATGGGTACACACAATGCTGAAAGAACTAGATTAGTCATATAATACTTTGTTATCATTAGATAATAAACGATTTAAATAATTTTTAGCTGATGCCATTGGAATTTGAGAGGTTTTGAAATGATTGAACTTACAACACATTGTGAACTCAATAAAAAGAATTTTTTTGAGGGATTACAAAAAAAGAAACTCAGAAAAGACCTATTACATTCTAAGCAAGTAGTTGAGCTACAACACACCATTTTACATGTTTTGTTCTACTTTTTGACTCTGAAATATAAAGTGTTAGGCTACTATGAATGTTAGCAAAAGACCACATTTTCATTGACAATTGGTACAACAATTGAAAGAAGGGTATCATTATATGAAGTTCAAAACAGAAAAAAATGCTGATTATATAATGCATCTCTTTTATTGAAAAGTATGATGGTTAAGCATGAAATGCCTCTCAAGCTTCAGGTGGCCCCAGTTCAAGTATTTAGAGATTGTGAACTCAAGAGTACCCTACTTGCTTCCTTATGCCTATCTCCCCAGTATCATATTTAATGTTCCAGAGCAAAGAATTTACTCAAGAGTCTATGGGGTGCTTGCTGTATGTTAGGCATGAAGAAGATAAATCTTCCTTAAGAGTTGTTTTAAAATGGTTTCTGATACTTAAATCTCATCCTGCCCTTGGTTGTTTTAATTTCCTTTTCTCTGGTCACTCTCGAACATTAACTTTTTTTTTTTGTGAGTAGTTTCTCAATCTTTATTATTATGACAGATTTATTAAGGTATAATTCACATACTACATATTTCATATAAGTTGTGCAATTCAATAGTTTTTCGTATATTTACAGAGTTGTACAGCTATCACCACAGTCAAGCTTAGCACATTTTCATCACCCTCAAAAGAAACCCTGTACCAAATAGCAGTCACTAGACATTCCTTGAGCCCCTCAACCCTAGGCCACCGCTTATTTTCTGTCTCCATGAACTTGTCTCTTCTGGACAGTTCACAGAAGTGGAATCAAAGAATATGTGGTCTTTTAGCATCATGTTTTTAAAGTTTATCCATGTTGTAGCCTGTGTCAGGCTATTTTCATTCTTATTTTGGCTAAGATTTTTCCAGTGAATGGCTATAGCACATTTTATTCATCCATTCATCAAATAATGGACAGTTGGGTTGTTTCCACCTTTTGGCTATTATTATAAATATGGGGCTATGGACATTCATGTAAGTTTTTTTGTGGACATAATTTTCACTTCTCTTGGGTGCATATCTTGGGAGTGGAATTGCTCGGTCATATGGTAACTCTAGATTTAACATTTTTGAGCAACTGACAGACTTTCCAAAGTAGCTGCATCCTTTACTGTCCCACCAGCAATGTATGAAGTTTCCAATTTCTCCACATCCTCAACATTTCTTACAATCTGTCTTTTTGATTGTGTCATCCTGCAGCCTGTCTGAAGTGGTATCTCATTAGGGTTTGGTTCGCATTTCCCATCTAGCTAATGCTACTGAGCGTCTTTTCTCGAGCTTATTCCTTAAATCTTGAGGTAGACCTACCAGTTTCCTTTCTAATGAGGAAAAACAAGCCTCTGTACCATCAGCAATTTTTTATTGCGTTTCTTTGCGCTTAGGTCGTCAGAAAAATTAATTAAAACTTCCAGTGAAGCTCAGATGCTGCGCTGAACATTTTTCCAAAGAAGGAATTCCAGGGCTACACTGGACAAGAAGTAAAATTGCATTATCTGCGCGGTGCTTGCAGAAAAATAAGGCAAAATATAAGCTAAAATCCTAAGTATCGTTTCTGCCTGAGAGGTGGCGCGGCTTCGTGTTTTCGTCTGACATCGGACACCTAAGCAAGAAGAGAGCAGTGCTAGGTCCTCAGCAGACGCGACAGCTTCGTGTCTGTTTGTCTGTTCAGTCCAACACCGCTCAGGGGAGCGGGAGGACGCGGGGGAGCGCCGGCCTCTGCTCCGCCTGAAGAAATCCTGTCACTCGCAGCCTCAGCGTCTCTGCACAAAGGGCCAGCTCCAGGGGCTTCTCGGAACCGCTCATCGCGCCAGAATTCGGCTATTTTTAACGAAGCTCCACAGCAGCAGCGGGGCTTTGCGAAGCCGGGGCCCCCCCAGGCCGACGCCCGCCCGCCCGCCCGGGGCGCTCCCCCGGCGTGAGGGGCCGAGCCGCGGCTCCGAGGCCCAGCGCCGGCGCTCACAACAGAAGCCTTCACGCCGGCCGGCGTCCGCAAGTTCACCACGCCCCGCCCGCCCCTCCGCCCGGGCGCCCACCACCCGCCCCAGCCGCCAGGCCGCGACTCCCATTTCCGCGACCCGACCGAGGGGAGCCTCAGCCAACGCCCCGGGTCACGCCCCGACACGCCCCTCTCCGCTCGCGGCGGTTGGAGTCCGCCCTCGCCCCCGGGACGGAGCGCAGGCCCCGCCCCCTCGCGCACCTCATTGGCTCTGGTGACCGGCCCCCCGAGCGTCGGCCCCGGATTGGTGGTCTCGGCCGCCGCTCGGCCCTCTTCCTGGGGGCGCGCGACGGGCGTGACCACGCCCCTTACGTCCGGACGCTCGGTCTCTTAGCGAGGCGCCGTAATCGCCGCCCAGAGGCAGGAGGGCGGCCGAGCGAGGAGCTGCTATGGTGCAGAGTTCCCCGGCGCAGCCGACCGAGACGCGGCGGTCGCGGCCATGAAGGTGAGGGGACGGCGGAGCGGGGCGGTCCCCCCTCCCCGCTCCCGTTTGGCCGCGGCGCCCGGTGTGGCTTCTTTTCTCCTCAGCGGTCTCCCCGCCGGCACCTCGGAGAGCTCCGCGGAGGGGGTCCCGGCCGGCGCCGGGGGCCCTGGCCGGCCCGGGTGGAGCGCTGGGCCCCGGACCGCTGCAGCCCGCCCGGCGCTCCCGGCCGCCGGCCGAGGAAGGGGCCGGGGCCGGCGCCCCCGCGCCCACGGCTGCCGGGCCCCTGGCCGCGCCGGGCCCTGCCCGCTGGCTCGGGCGCTGAGGCGGGTCCCCTCGAGCTCGCCTCAGCCCGCGGCGCCCTCCTCGGCCTGCGGCGCGCCTCTCCCGCCCCGAGTCCTTGAGGTAACCCAGATGTCGGGAGCACCACGGGACTGTCGCAGGAGGGGAGCTGCGGGGCGGCGGGGAAAGCGGCGGCGCGGGAGTCGCGAGGCTGGGGCCGGGTTCCCGGGTTAGGAGTGCCGCGGGGCGGGGGCCCCACCCCAAGGACGTCTTCGTGGGCTTGACACTGGGGCCGTGACCCAGGGCGCTGGCAAAGTGGATGCGACTCCGTCGTCACTAGGTACGCAGCAAGTAATTTGACAGCTTGAGTTCTTCAAGGTGGGTGTGAGAGCGTGGGAGCAACCCTGAGTGAGAAGTTTGAGCAGAGGGGGAAGGGGGGATTCTGGCCTACTTTGGGGAGCTGATTATCTCCACTTGATCTCAGAGTTCCAGAGAGCTCCGTGCACAGCAGTCAGTTCGGCTATAGATTCATTTGCTCAACTCAGAGCAAGTGGGGGTGAGTCAGGTGATAGCCTCTGAGACGTTGATGATTCCATTAATCTCCATGAAGCGAGGTGTTTGATCAGCAAGGACAGTGAGAGTGAACTGTCTTACCTTTACAAAGCCTCAAGGATGCACTGTGGAAGAGTGAGCGGGAGTGTCAAGTGACTAGAGAAATCCAGCAAATGTCTTGTTGAACGTTTTCTATGTGTTAGCTGAGAGGGAGACATCCTGAATAGAAGACATTGAAAATACAATCCCGCCCTGGAAAGGACAATCCCGCCAGTGGAAAGAGACAAGACAAGGTAGAATGTGATGGGAGGTATCAAACAAACAAACAACCACAACAAAAAACAAACCCAGGAGCAAGAAAGTGTATTTCTGGGTGCAGGAAGCATCATTTTTTGGAATAGGTAACTTTTGAGATGTTCTTTGATGTGATATTGTAAGAGGTCATTTTTTTAACTTCCCGTTTTAGTTATAAACAGTATTTCAACTTAGCATGCCGATTCAATAAAAGTTGCATTATTTCCTGAAAACCCTCACCTTGCTTTGTTAAGATACAAAACAAAGTGTTGAGTAATTGCATAAAATGACTCAAAAGAATGCCAGTATCAAACTTGTGGCCCGTCTTAAGAGTATAGGGAAGACAGAAATGGAACGAGTAAGCAATTAAATGTGGAAGTAGTGAATTAGGGACAGACCAGGTTTGTCTTTTAATCAAGTTCTTTAAAAACAGAGTGTTTTTAAGTAGGAGATTCTGAGTTGAAATTTTAGAAACTTAAGTTTGGTGGCTGTTGGAAATGCAGGGGAAAAATGTATTTTGTGAAGCAAAATGCAGGCCCAAATAGACATCCATCCGAGCAGGATGACAGTCATGAAGACATTGCTTTTCATTTCTGCTTTTGTGAAAACAATTCACAAAATTTAGGATTTAGGTCTTTATTATTTCTTTGTTTTGTATTGTACTCGTGTATGTTCATCTTGACATTTCTGGGCAGGGTGGGTGATTGCTAATGTCATGAAATTCTAACGTGAATGTTCATGTAAGTAAGTACTTCCTTCAGGGAATAAAAATTACTTTAAAAGCTAAATGATCAGATGAAGTGCATCTTCACCCAAACCCAGGAACAGCTGATTTTTGGAATATATGTGCGCTGGGTATTTACTTTTCCCCCTTTAATTTATTTGCTTGGAAACAGATGTATTTGAAATAGGCTTTACCGCTCAAAGACTCAAGTATCTGTTTAACCTTACAGTAGCATCTGACTGACTATATAAGGGTATTTTAAAAATCTAAATTGGTGGTCTATGTTAATTTAATTTAATCTTCCTGTTTTTCCATATTTATATTGATCTCACCCATAATTATACTAGTGTTCATCAAAATGATGTCAAAGAAAAAGTAATCAACTGAGTAGTTTCCTTTTTCTTTTTCTCTGAAAAGATTAAGTAGACTTAAAAAAAAAAAGACCAAACATGGGGAAGGTGACATTTATGATCTCCAGCACATGTTATTGCAAAAATCAATCAATTTGGGCAAATGTCTTGCCTAAAAATGTTAATAATTTTTTTTTAAAGATTTATTTATTTATACAAGCACTGGGTACAGTCAGAAGCGCAGGAGAGTGAGAGAATTCACCAGCGCCAGAGGGGAGAGCAGAGCAGGCAGACTGACGAAGTACACTGCTGAGGGGAGCAGTGGGTGGCAGGAGAGGTCTGCCTGCCATGTGGGACTCGCCTGGCGGCTGGGGATTGAACTGGCGCTGCAGAGACTGCGGGCAGCTTCGCAACCCTGCGCTCAACCACTGCACCACCGGGGAGGCTCAAAATGTTAATAATTTTTAAGATCAGAATTTGGTTTTTGCAGCCTGCTTAATGTCCAAATGGTATGAGGAAGAATTTAGGTTGTAAAATTTTCTCTTTTGTGGTATATAGTCTATATTTGGCCATTAAGGAAGTAGAATTCCTCATGTATTTCAGTTGAAGCAGCAATTTCAATGAGAGGAGCATATTTTTCAAGTGGCTTTAAATTAGGGAAAGGTTTTTTGCTTAGTTTCTCAACTGTTTTTTCTGCTTTGTTTTAAGCTCTGTAGGAAAATTTAAGTAGTTGAAATTTCAACTGTAAAACTCTTTTATCACTGGGGCTAAGATTTGAAAGATGTTTTCATTTTGACACAAAGACTTTGAATTTTAGCAAACTGAAAGTTGTTTGGAGTTTAAAACAAAGCCTGTGCTGGTTGAGTTCTCTGAGAAACCTTTCTTTGGTGGAAGAACTGAATGGATCGCTGCCTGGTCCTTGCAGCTTCTTACAACATCCAAGAAAATTAATGTTCTTGAATTTGTAACTTCTAGGTTTAGTCTTAAAATAACTTTAAAATATTTCCATATTTAGAGTTGTGGCTAGCAACTCTTAGAACTCTTACTGCTGTTCATCTAGTTTAATGAAAAGCAAATGCAAATGATAGTTTCGTTTTTTTGCTGACTTCACCTATCAACTTTTTTCTCTTTCTCTATTTCTCTTTTGGCTGTCTTTTAATCTTCATGGAAACCACTGTAACCTTTATTCTTCATTCATCTTCCTGGTTACAATTACATTTGCTGGAATCCTTAAAAGGGTCACATCCTAACATAGTTTAGAATAGGAATCAAAATTTGTTGTATGCTTTTTGTTAGCTCTTTAAGTTGAGCATTTTAGAAGTATTTTCCCCCTACAGAGATTTCTAAAAGCATATTAGACCACCCCCACACGATCAAAGACAGCTGAATCTTGAGGCCATTTGCAATCTGGCACTCTGGGAGGTTGAGCCACTTGCAGAGAAACTGAACACATCTCCTTGTTCTTTTATTGACTGAAGTGATGATTCAGATTGGGATTATAATGTGTGGCTCTGATTGAGGAACCTAAGAGAGTGTGTTTAGATTGGTGGTCTATAGTGGAAATGAGTGTCAAAGCACTGGAAACTGTCAGTTCTACTCTCATGCAAATTGGTTAGATTTGTAGGTAAGATTCTCCCCACCCCCTTTATGCTTCTAGAAAAGGGAATTTCTAAATCATTCTTTAGGAAGGAATAATATAGAAGGAACACTTTCTGCTACCAGAGAAAGAAGAGAAACTTTTTTGTTGGTGAATTTCAGAGAGGAACTATCTTAGCTTAGTACTTTCTGAAACCTCAGATTCTTCCTATGGGGGAGAGGAGAAGGTAGCATTTAGGTCTTTACTCAACTACAAGAAAAGAGCTGCAGTTTGGTCAGCTCAGTGTGCTGGTAACTTGGTAGAACTGTAAAGTCATGTTCCCCAACTGGCATTAGCAGTAAAACACCAAACACTTGAATTTGTGTTTGACTTATTTCTTAATTGGAAGCGGGGGGCGGGGGAGAGTAAAATCTTGGTGTGTTGGCTTTGAAAAAATGACAAGAGCTGGTATTGGATACCAGAATAACATGAGATCTAGGTGTCTGGAGCAGTCCAGACAAAAGGCATTAGAACTTAATTTCTTACTGTGGGCCATAAAAGTTTTTAATATGTTACCTGGCTTTTTCTAAACTGACGCAAGCCAGGCAGACTGTGACCCACGGCTGGCATTCAGGAGTAGCTTTCCTGTGAAGGGATGTGGACAAGGGATTAGATTATCAAGAAAATGTCATTTATTTTCAGTAAACATAAAAATAATCTGCAAACATAGCTCAATTCCATGAGCTTAGAGTTTTGTGCCAGGTGGATAGTTGCCTCAGTTGCCTCAGTTATTTTCTATGTTGTTGTGGACTACCTTAATGGTCCAGAAGAGAAATGAAGCCATTTTTGCAGGTTATTATTGTTCTAACTCTTGGGTGGCCCCAATCCCAAGTAGGATTCAGAATTGCTAACAATGGAAGCCCACATTGTAGCTTTAGTTTTCCAAGATCCAGACTTTGGGTTCACTCACAGCAGAGTAGTAGACTTTGTTATGAGCAAATAAAAGATGGATGGTGATCTTATATAAGAAATAAGCCTCTTTGGATTGAGGCAGAACCACAACTCTATGAATTTACTGAAAATCCAAAAGCCAATGGGCTGTCCCTTGTGTATATCTGTCTAGGAACTGGGTTTGTTCAGAAAATCTAGGAGGAAGTGGAATGGTTTGCTACCAAAACATGAGCGAAGAGTGAATCAAAGAAAAATAAGGGAATGAAGACTCATGAAGCTGGTGGAAGATATTAAGAGTAAGGAAGACAAAGAAGAACATGAACTTATAAGGTCTGTAAAACCTTTAAAGGAAGCGTACAAAAAAAAAGGGGAAGCTTTTTGATTACCCTGTCAGATATAGTAACTGGACTACGAGGAAATGTAACAGGGGCAGAGACGAGTTCTGAGAACAAATTGGCTTGTTCCTGACCTGCCACCCCCACACACATACTTCAAGAGCACAGATTCAATAAACTTGGAAAAATGTTCTCTTAAACAGTTCCCTAATTGCTTTCATAGATTTTTTTGCTTGAAAATTGGGACTATTATGATAAGTCGCAACAGAAAATTTGAACAGATCTGAGGTGGGGAAAGATCTGTATAGGACACTTCAAGCATTATTAGGTGAGTGTCAAGGTAACATTTGTTTGGTAGGGATTCCTGCATCCTGAAGGGACACGCAGAAGAAATATATGAAATTGGGACTTTGAGGGAATGTGCGTGAAGATGAAACAATAAAATAGAGGTAGGGAGATGGAGTTCAAGCCTGGGAGACTTCATCTTCTGTGTGGATTCTTCAATTTGGAGGTTAAGAAGGACAAAAAGTAGTTTGAACAATGGCTGTTTTTGACAGACCTAGAAACCACTGTCTTTCTCCTACATTTGGAGATTTCACACAAGAAAACAGAAAGTTAGGATATAAAAGACTAAAACCAAAGAGCAAATAAAACTAAGGCATCAAATTCCAACAAAAGTGCCAGGCCAACATGTGGTAAAAGGAAAAAGACTAAGAATCAGATGTAACTGTTAAGAACTCAGCCCAGGCTTACTGAAAGGATCAGGAGAAGCAAAGACTCGAGGCATATCCCACTACTGCAGCAAGCCGCGGGCACGTAGACTGCTCAGGAGGAACAAGTGTCCTAGAACTCCAGAGGCTGCAGAAGTATCCACAGCCCCATCCCTTCAGTAATCTGCTGAGAGTGGTTCTCCAATTTAAACTATCTTAGCAGGAAGGGGACATCTCCTAGACTGAGGAGGTGTTAGCCTTTTAACTTCAGCTGTACTGGGGAACTGACTTTTTTGATGCTCAGATCATTGTACCCTAAGCCAGTTAAGTCGGAATCTCTGGGACTGGGACCCAGGCATCAGTATTTAAGGCTTCCTTGTTGACTCTAACCACTGTCTCGAGAGCTGGTTTCACAGCTCAAGCAGTTCCTTAATTTGAGGCAGTGACAGCAGCTGCTGTGGTACAGAACTAAAAATACCTGCTCCAAGGAAGCTGGAGAAGTAGAATTGCTAAAGACATCATCTTCATGTCAGCTCTGGGGTGCCAGCAAACACGGGACTTAAAGTAGAGGAAATTGTTTAAGTATGCTGAATGGGGAAGGCACTTCGGGTAAAACTTCTGGCTGGGGAGTCCACTGTTTTAAATTCTTAACTTTCAGTAAGGCTGGAGTGTTGCAGTACTACTCCCAGAGGATGAAAGTATACACCGGTAGCTTACCTGTCAACATGATGCTGAGTATTCTTTTACTGGGACATTATTCTCTTATTGGGAGATTATTGTCCCTTCTGGGGAGTGAAGAGGAAATTCCCTCCTCTTTATAGAAATAGGAGAAATGGGATAAAATTGTTTTCCTCCAATATTGATGTCTGTATAGAGATTCCACCTGTTTTCCAAAAATAAACACACCAAATCTGTGAATATTTTCAGCCCAGAATTTTAATGATCACTCTCATGAACATCACTTGAAAATTTGTATTCTTAATTCTCATTGTACGACTGATCTTTGTAGAACAATATGTGGGACAGTTTTGTTTTTAAAAGCGTGGTTTTGGGCCTGCTAAGTCAGACTCTACCTTTTTGAACAAGACACAATTTGATCTTTCTAGCCAGCACACAATAATGTTCCATTACCTTTAAAGAGGTAAACGTTTTATATAGTTATTTACTTACCGATCATGACAGTGGAACTAGATGCTGTGGAAGAAAGAGAGGTTCTGTTCACAAGGAACTTTACAGACTAGTTGGGGAGACATCACCCAGGGATCAGAAGGGGGATTAAAAACTAACAGTTGTTTGTTTAGTAGTTAGGTCAGCAGGAAGCTAAAACTCAAAAACTTCAATTCTTTAAACTCATAGAATGAAGAAAAATTAATCCCAGTGGTACTTTCTGCAATTGAGGTATTCTTCTCCCCAAATTAAATTTTTAAAAACCTTTTCGGTTGTTTTAAAGAAAGTTCACTGATAAAGGGCTACAGTTGAGTACTACACTGAAAGAGCATTTTAAAAGAACTTAGTAAAGCTGGATTTTCATGCTTTTAAACCACGGCTGTAGAGTCTGAGGTATATATTAAAAGGTATAGATTATTAGTAATCTGACTTTTATGGGCATCACTATTTCTTGAGAATTACAGGTTGTAAAGCCATATAATACTTAAGTCAGGGACCCTGACCAACACTTAAAGACGGTTTGAACCTTGTATTACGGTTTCTTACTGCTTTACCTTCTCTTTTCCTCACATTTAACATAGCATATTCTTTCTGGGTAGCAGCACGCATAGCATGATCCTTCTATGATTCCAGATAGCCTTTTAAGGTCATTACAGACATTGTCTTAAAAAGCCCATTAGAAAAACAGTACATGTAAGAGAAACAGTGACAGATAGTAGAAAGTGAAACTGTGATTGTCATATGTTGCACTTTAGCCTACAACTCACCTACCTGGACTGCCATTAGATAGCACATTATCTGTGCATTAGCCAGCATATGTGTAAGAATTAGAACAAAGGAGAAGGAGCCGACTGGTTCCAAACAGTTTTTATACTTTTAGCATGGGGGAATGCCTGGGGTCCTCTCTGAAAATATTCTTCTATATATGCCGACGATACGCTTGGTTATCAGGTTTCTGAGATCTGCAGTAAAGAAAGGAACAGGTTCCTAGAGGAAGGTATAGTGATAGCAATTGTGGTTCATGGAAGAGATGAGGGGGAAAAAAAATCTTCAATTTGAAAAGGTAGGATAACTGCTTTTTAAATGCATTTTCCTTACTGTCATGTAAATATTTTTTTAAAATGTATTCTTTATAAAGAATTTAGAAAGTAGAGGGAAACGAAAATAAATTACATGAGCAATCTAGAGAGCACTTTAGTTGACATTTTGATGTTTTTCTAGTCATTAAAATTTTATTTTAGGGCCTCCCCGGTGGTGCAGCGGTTGAGCGCTGGGTTGCGAAGCTGCCCGCAGCCTCTGCGGCACCGGTTCGATCCCCGGCTGCTCCCCGGCCACCGGAGGGAGGGTCCCACATGGCGCGCAGATCTCTCCTGCCGCCCGCTGCTCCCCTCAGCAGTGTACTTCTGCCTGCTCTGCTCCCCGCTCTGGCTCTGGTGAATTCTCTCACCCTCCCGCGCTTCTGACTGTACTCAGTGCATGTATAAACCAAACAAACAAACAAATAAATAAATAAAAAACATGCCTCTATAAAAAAAAAAATTATTTTAATTAATGTATGCTGTAGTTTATTATACCCAGCTACAGAGGAAAGAAGTGTGATGAAATTAAGTAATTTAAATTCATATTCTTTCTGCTAAGTGATATTTGGAAAAATCTGCCTCAGCCTATAGAGCTGTGCCAGTCCCGTAGCTACCAGTATAAGGTTGCCAGATGGAGAGTATTTAGGACGCCATTACATCAGGATTTCAGGTAAGCTAGGAACACTTTTTGGGTGTAAGCATATTGCATGCATATTGCAGACATGCTTCTGTTCATTTCCCCCATCCATGTGCTCGTGTAACTTAAATTGGGATCGTTGTACCTTTTCCTTTTTAACAACAAGTATCCCCATTGCCAAATATTCTTCTTTCCAAATAGCTTCAGATTTTGATGCAAAAAGGAATAATCTCCAAATTTTTTAGGGCAAAGTTACCTCTCCAAGATGGCGGTCCCTGAGGATCCCAGAGCCCAGCGTCTCCTTTCTCTTTACACTGTGGTTCTTGTGTTTTCCCAGGCGGGTGCCACATCTATGTGGGCTTCATGCTGTGGGCTGCTGAATGAAGTCATGGGAACCGGAGCTGTCAGGGGCCAGCAGTCAGGATTTGCAGGAGGCACTGGGCCATTCAGATTTACACCAAACTCTGACTTTTCCACGTACCCACCAGCACCTACAGAAGGGCCCAATATAGTCTGCAAAGCCTGTGGACTTTCATTTTCAGTCTTTAGAAAAAAGGTGAGTTGGATGAAACATCGCATACAAAAGACACCCATGAATTTGTGACTATTATTTTGAATTCTAATGAATCTTCATTTCTTTTTAAAAAATTACCAAAAAATCTAGTCCGTTAGCCATTCCCCATGCAGAAACACTGCTGGCTTTCTGACTAGACACTGACTCTCAGGGTGCAAAGCACTTTCTCCTTAGCTCTGACCACCTTTCATTCTCTGGTGATGCTGAGGTCTTGAAGCAAGAGATTTAATTAGTCTAGAGTTTTATTCAAGATGATTTGCTGCAACTCTGGCCTCAAGTTCAAAAAAATGTATCCCTACCAATATTTTTAATTCAAGTGAGGATGAGTGCAGTTAAGATAATTAATGTGTGGGGATTCAACATGAAACACTTGAGCTAAAAGTTTTCTCTAGGACAGATTGCCGTTCTGAGCGCCATCATATTTGAGGCCATCTTAGTTTTTGATCATCAAATCAGGCCTTTGAAATACTTAAGGAACAAGGTATTAGCTTGTGGAACAATGAAATAAGCAGAAATGACCTCTTTAAATTTTGCTAGTGGAATGGGGTTAAGCTTTTGATGGAGGCTCTTAAGGCAAGGGTTACTGTAAGGGTTGGCTCCTCTGTGGGCTTGGATGGACCTTGAAAGATCAGTAGCTTTTCTTTGAGTTATGCTTTTCCTCCCCACCATTAAATGGGGACATTGTTCACATAGGAAAAGAGCAGGAAGAGCCGGGTGGTGGTGCCTTCTGCTGCATGTGGTTCAATCAGCTCTGTTCAGCTAATTACATGTTTGCTGAACAAGGGGTGGGAAGGTTTTAATTCATTAACACAAGAGTGTTTGCTTTTCTTAAAGGACTATATTTGCACTTCTGTGAATCCAAACTGCCTTGGCACTGACTTTTGATTTTCATGGTTTCTGGGATGTGACAATGCCTGTGAGAATAGTCTGGTGCCTGGGGGACTTAAATTGAATTTTAGTAGAAGGTAAAAAAGAAAACCAGTGTTTTCACCGTGGTCTGTATATGGCTATCGGTAAATGCTTCATTACTTTTTCTTCAGCATGTATGCTGTGACTGCAAGAAGGATTTTTGCTCCGTTTGTTCGGTCTTACAAGAAAATCTCCGCAGATGTTCCACTTGTCACTTACTGCAAGAGACGGCCTTTCAGCGCCCCCAGTTAATGCGACTGAAAGTGAAGGATCTACGTCAGTATCTCATTCTCAGAAACATACCAATTGATACCTGTCGAGAGAAAGAAGACTTGGTAGACCTAGTATTGTGCCACCATGGGCTGGGTTCTGAGGATGACATGGACACAAGCAGTCTGAATTCCTCGAGGTCCCAAACGTCTAGCTTTTTTACACATTCATTTTTTTCAAACTACACAGCCCCCTCTGCTACCATGTCTTCGTTTCAGGGAGAGCTTATGGGTGGAGCCCGGACCTTAGGATCTGGAACGCTGGCACAGGTACGAGGGCCACTTCCCCTGAGGGCCTGGTTTGCCTGCTCTTGGCCAGGTATGATGGGGCCTTCAGGGCCTGTTGACTCCTTGCAGGAGCAGACGCCATACCCTGCTGAACTCAGAGCTTGTAGGCTCTCCTGATGTCTCAGTGCTCAGGTGCTAGGTGACCCCAAAGTCAGCTGTGTGAGGAGCCCCAAAATAGCTCACCAGCCTTAGTTTCAGTATCGTACAGTTAAATATTGTTAAAATAATGACTGTGAAAAGTAGCATATAAACTTTATACTGTGTCATCTGCAGTAATACCGAGTATCAGTGACCATGAAAATCACAGTACGAGTTAACCTAATGCTACTGTAAAATTGTTGTAATTTAGGTAGAGCGGAACCACCATCTGAATCAGTGAAAGAATATGGTTATTTATTAATTTCAGAAAAATGCCTTTACAGAATATTGTCCCAATGAGGTCTTTGGTCATCCTGACTGAATAATATGTAAAGCCTGGTATTTATGAATGACTTAAGAGGCTAGAAAAATTGTTTTGAACAATTTTCTCCATATTTAAATTTGAGGAAAGGGGCTCTTAAAAATAGAGGGAAATCGGGTTTAGTTGCTCTAATAGTCATAAATAAAGCCCAAGCTAAGAGTTTTACTAATTTTCCAAATAGGGGCTGGCATAATTATGATGCAAACATAAAACATACCTGACTTTTATGCTTGTTCACTTTTGGTTATACGACACCAGCTGGGAGAGGGTCTTTGGGCTTTACAATATGGAGCTCGTGAGCAGTGGCCATAGTGGTGAAACTTTCAAGTTACAAGGAGACTACTGTACATCAGTGGCCAAAATAGTCAGGAGAGAAAGATATAGGAGGAACATGATTTAAAATGAAGAGATTTTCTCATTTTCCTTAAAAAAACAAAAAAAGGTATCAGATTGTCAATAAATTTCTAACACCTAGAACTAGTAATAGCCGCCAGTGAACCCAGAAAACACTTGTGTGTGTGGAATTAGGATGTCTAAATGTGATGTAGTAGTACTGAGATCTTTCAAATTGAATGTCTGACACCTGGGCTGATCTTAGTCAAGCTTTCATCTCTGTACCTTAGAAGCTCCCGTTAAAGCAGTCATTTGTAGATCCTCTGAGAGTGACGTGATACCATTTCATATGCTTGTGACTTTTGGCATTCCATGATGGTACTTTGCTTAAAATTCAGACCAACATAGGAATACACCTTTTGAGTTAACTTTATGGAAGGTAAATTGTTTATCATATACTTTTGGGAGGGGCAGCAGCATTCAGGGTCCAAGACATGGAATATGGTGGGTGTTGGGGGAGTCCCTCTTGGGGAGGATCTATGAAAAGATTTTTTTCTCCAGTGATAAATATGGGTGGTTACTGTTAAGGTGATTTCTGACCTAAGCAGATCCATTGTGTGTTTAGGTACAAAGTGAAATAGCTTCAGCAAACACAGAAGAGGACGAGGATGAGGACGAGGACGATGATGAAGAAGATGATGAAGAAAACTTGGAGGATCAGGTGAGATCTTGTGTAAAATTTGGGTTCCCTGACATCCAGTCTGTCAGGGAGGGAAAACGCCTGTGTGGACTTGGCCCGATTAGCACAGGAAGGCTTTTTGTGCTCAAATGTAGAACAACATATAAAGCACTCCAGGACTGCTGAGAAGCCTGTGAGGGCCAGAGGGGTGGAGAGCATGCGCTGCCCTGGCAGTGGCAGGTCTGGACTGGAAGGAGGAGGTAATCCAAGCTCTGATTGCAGATGCCTGGCCTTTCTAAGAAGAGAGTGAGAGCTTCACTGTCTGACCTGTCAAGTCTTGAAGATGTGGAAGGGATGAGTGTGCGCCAGCTGAAGGAAATCCTGGCACGGAATTTTGTCAACTATTCTGGCTGTTGTGAAAAATGGGAGCTGGTAGAGAAAGTAAACCGGTTATACAAAGAGAACGAAGAAAACCAAAAGTCATGTAGGTCTTTTCTTTTCCCTTCCCTATAGTCTCCTTTCCTAGACTTTTAAGAACTCAAATGCAATTCCTTGTCTCTATAAAAATGTTTAGAGTTTAAAGGCTACAATTGAGATAACCCAATAGTGAGGGGGAATTCTGTAGAGCCAAAGTGTTAAGCAGTTCTTAGCACCAAGTATTAGCAGGTTTTTGTGCATGTCTCTAAAAGCTGAGGCCAAGAACTTCTGACCTGTTTTGATGAAGCATGGAACAGAAATCCTCCCTGGTAATAGGGCCAAGCTACAGAGCATTTATAGGCAAGGGGAAAAAAATTCAGTGATGTTCAAGTCAACTTATGTCAATCTTATGTTCCTATCTAGACTTCAACAATACTCTCATGATTAGCTTTTATCATCTTGGGTTTTTTTTTATTTTTAAGATTTATTTATTTATGCATACAAGAGCTGGGGCATAGGCCAGAGATGTGGGGGGTGAGAGGACTCACCAGAGACAGAACGGGGAACAGAACAGGCAGACTGACGAAATACACTACTGAGGGGAGCAGCGGGCAAGACAGGAGGTCTGCTGCGCCATGTGGGTTGCTCCCTAGCCGCCGGGGATAGAACTCGTGTTGCAGAAGCTTCAGATTGCCTCATAGTGTGGTGCTTAACCCCTTCCTTGCGCCACCAGGGAGGATCCATCTTGGGTTTTTTTAAAAGCTGTTTATAATACCAGCTTTCTGTGGATAGAGTATGCAGAGGTATCCTGGCACACCTGTTTCTCATATGATGCCACAGTAGCAGATAAAGGAATTCTCAATCCTCAGAGGTTCCAGATTAACTGAGAAATCACATCCTGGCAGTAAGGGGAGAGTCATTTTAGCCTCGACATACTCTGGCCCCTCTGCTTTATGCTCAGACGTATTTAAAGAGTTGAAAGGAACCTTCTATGCAGGCAAGGAGACCAAGATCCAGATTCAGGAACCCTAGCGTCTTCCTTATGGGCTTGTCTGTCACTTACATACTTTCTCCTGCTCTACAGGGGACCATGCGCCAAAGCCACAGATTACAGGAATCTCTTGTCATGAAAAAACTTAAATTTGGGATCTAACTGGTCCATCAAGCTTAAATTCCTGTTCTTTCTACTATATCCATGATCGCCACTGATCCCCTCTATGACCTGTTTACAACTCTGGCTAAATCTCAGTCCACAATACTCTTATCCACAGTGAATAAGCATTTTTCTTTTCTCAGAATCTAAATCTAGGCCAGAGACTAGATGACTGATCCCTTTTGAGTTAGACTCCAACAGGGCCAGCGTGGCCAAGAGCAGATGGCTTGAGATGCTTTCAAGGCTAGGGGATGCCTCCTCCCAACCCTGACCTTCCTTTAGGTGTGGAAATAAAGCTCGTTCTGGAGATGGAAACTGCCCTCGGTCACAGATGGGTGGACATTCCACTGGCGTTCTGACTCCCAAGGTCCATGAGCAGGGCAACCTAAGTGGTTTTTACTCACGGGAGGCCCGCGTCCATGTCACAGGGTTCACAGGCGCGACAGCTGCCGCGCTGCGCGGAGGAGACCTAAGTGCAGAGAAGTGGGAGCATCTCTCAGGGATGCTGGGTTTGTCCTGGATGCAGCAGATGCTGCTCAGCCGCCAGGTGGCCCCTCCCCAGCCCCGCTCTGCTGTCTTTCAGATGGCGAGCGGCTGCAGCTGCAGGACGAGGAGGATGACAGCCTGTGCCGGATCTGCATGGACGCCGTCATCGACTGTGTCCTGCTCGAGTGCGGGCACATGGTCACCTGCACCAAGTGTGGCAAGCGCATGAGCGAGTGTCCCATCTGCCGCCAGTATGTGGTGCGTGCTGTGCATGTGTTCAAGTCCTGAACTGAGGCTCGCCCCATGGGACACTTGATCCCAAGCTCGATCCCAGACATTTCAAGGCACAGGAGGTACTAGAAACTTACTGTTCAAAGGCCGAAGCTATTTTTTAAAGTTATTTTCACTACTAACTGGGCACCCGAAGATTCACCCAAGTTTCAGCAACACGGGTCCACGCCATGCGCCCACCTGCCTGTGGACCGTGCGCTCCCATGTCGTCAGGCTTCATCCCACGTTGCGATCACTCATTGCCAAAGTCAGACTGCTCGTGGCACCTGCTACCGCTCCTTGGGAGGATGTTTATCTCGTTCTCTTATTTCTCCTTCACCCTATTTTTAACTTAAACTACTTGAAGGTTTGAAACTTACGTTCTTTTTGGATTAGGTCACTGTCCACAAGTGGCCAACGTGGTACGTGCTGAGCAGTGGCCCCTCTGAATGTTCACATTACTATTTGATGAATGTAAGTTTCCACATTGTTGCTATTCCTGCGTTTACGTGTAATTGGGAACTGACATTCTGTAGTCAACTGCCAGGGCCTTAGACGAAACATGTCCATTTCTGTTCATGTACAGCTTTTTATAGCAAGGGCTGCATCTAGCTTCTTTCATTAGAGAAGTACATGTGTTACATTCTTTATTAACGTGTAACCAGTTTACACTGTTTTGTATAGTGAAAGTGTATTTTCAGTGCTACCCGCTAGCTAATTTGATCTTTAGAAATAAAATTAGAGTTAACTGCTTTTGTTTACATTGTCCCAGTCAGTTCCTACTTCCCGCGGGTACAGCATGAATGGGCGTCTGTGTCTGTTCTCGCACCCTTCTTCAGGGACGGCAGCTTCTTCAGATGCTGCCGTGATTTGCCTCTGCTGCCGACCTCCCAGTGAGGTTAACTCACTGTTTCCCATGGTGACCAGGTTCTGTGCCAGCTGCTTCAGTCCTCTCCAGCATCCAGAAGTAGATGTCGCCTCATTTCACAGACACAGAGCATGACCTCTGAGGAGTTAAGGAACTTGTCTAGAATCTCAGTTAAAAAGTGGCCACAGCTGAACTTGAACCTAGTTCTGATTTAAAAAAAAAATTTTTTTTTGACTCTTTGGTATCTTGCAGCAAATGAGAAATCTGGGACATGAGCATGTCCAATGGTTTCCTAGGAACGTGAATGATCTTTTGAATGCAGCAGGTCACACGTGTGCTGCCAGATGGCCAGGGACGGTCAAACTGTGAACTCAGAGGCAGGAAATGTTTCCAGTTTAGAAGGCGCTCATGCCGATCTTTTCTGGATTTAAGGGTCGGCATGGAAGTCAAGGCCTGTGGATATTTTCAGGTGCCCTCTGTTGGTTGCAGCGCCGTGGGTGGGGTCTTCCCAGTAACGGGCCTCACTATGGAAGCAGGAAAGTCTGGCCCCTGCTGGAGTCAGATGCGCTGAGTTTGTACTTGCTGTGAGATAGTGACTGGAAAATCGGTCTTCCCCCACCACTGGCTAACTGGGCGGAGGGAAGTCTTCAAATCCAAGCCAGCAGATGAGAATTAGCACTTTGAAAAGGAGCTGAGCAGTGGGTTTTGGTTTGTCTAACGCTAAATTGGAAGATTGACATATTTGTATGTGGTCTCAGCTTAACATGGCTCGTGTCTTCCTCCTGGATTTATACTAAGGTGTCTGGCTCTAGAGAGAGTACGAGCACCCTGAATATGGCGGATTTTCCTTGGTAGCATCTGAAGTAACCTTGGTTTAGTGGCTAGCTAGCAAATTTTTAGTCTAATAGACTGGACACTTCAAATAACTGAATTACAAGGCACTAACTTGTTTGGTACTAACATTTCCCCGCGGATCCTGCATTTTCTCACTGGTACACACGCCCCTTACAGTTAGTTTCTTGAATAGGTGATATGTCACATGAACAAGGTGCCGAAGGCCCACAGTGGGAGACAGGTACACCCCCCTGTCCTGTTCCCACCACAAAAGGACATCACTTGATGCTCGGACTTTAAAGGGGTCTTTCTCCGTAAATTCTCAGTGTCCCGGAGGAGGGGGTGGAGCCCCCCTCCCTTGCGGGTTAGGAAGTTGAGACCTAACCCAGGAAAGCGCTCCCTCTGCTGTACGGTCCTCTTAATGCGTCAGCTACGGGGTGTGGCCTTGCGAGTTGTCTGCACGCATCTAGCTTAGGCTGGCCTCGAAAGGCTCATTTCTGAAATGAAAACCATACTGGACATCACCTTCCGGACCGTTCAGTATCCCTGGGGGCTCATCTGGGACCACAGCACTGCTGGGCCTGCCTCAGTCTGGGAGACACTGTGGCTCCCTAGGGGAGCCTGGCTGCCCTTCCCTCACCGCCTCTTGAGACCTGTGCTCCTGGATACACTGCAGGACCAACTGGGCCCCTAAACCCGAGAACTGTTCACCTAGAACCACTACTGCCCTCAAGGCATTTGCCAAGGAAGGCTCACTTGACTGGAGATGGAGTAACTCTTATTTGGAGGTTTGGAAATCTCAGGCTAAGACGACGACCAAAACTTTACCTTTCATGGGGGTGGTCCGTGATGACTCATCAGGCATGCCAAAGTAAGCCTCGTTTTTGTAAATAAACTGTAGCTAAACTAATCTTACCTCTGTTAATGCATCTCCTGAGTTTAATTCTGAGGTCCAACTGCTTCAAGTGTCTCCAGTTTGAGTCAGAAAGGATCTCTGGGCTAAATCTAGGTGGAATCTAAAACCCTTTCACCATGACGAAAATACAAGAGAGGCAAAGGGGGCAATATGAAACCACTGTCAGCAGAAAAGGCTCACCCCAGGAGACTTGAGGTAGTTGGGTCATCTTGCCCGTTTTCAGATTCACTAGAGTAGTCGTTTCTGTATGAGGTCCCAGGGTTCTGTCATTAAAAGAAATCCTGTTGTCTAAAGTTACTTCTGACTGGTTTCTGGCTCTGCCACCTGGAGAAGGTACCTCACTACCACACACCATCCGTCAGCCCTGCCCAAGGTCACTACCATGCACAGCCTGTGGCCTCCCTGAGTTGCCTCCAGTGGGAGGCGAAGTGGCCAACAGACATGGTCACAGGCAACCGAACAGAAAGAAAGTTTGTGGCCAATTCCTAAAGGTGGCCACTGCTGTAGCACAGTTCACTCCCGTATCAGCCACAAACAGACCTGTCTGAAGATGGATGTGCCACTGCTGCTCTCAGGTGAACAAGAACTTACAGATCGTCTCGCTTCAGAACCTGTACACCGGCGTGCAGCAAACTGCCTCAACTTCCAATCACATTCCTCGTTCACTCCTAGAACAGAAACCCTCAAAATCCAAGAGTGATTTTTTTTTTTTTTGTACAATTGTTTATACAAATTCAACAAAGGTAAAATCACATCAGGGAAGGTCTAGGAAAACAACGCCTTACAACAATGGCACTTATGAATGCAGAACTTTACAACTAGGAAATAGCCATGTTTTAAACCTTAAACAGGAACTCAACTTACACTCCGAAGGAGAGGAAAACAGGAAAAGGCTATGTTGGATCATTTATTCTACTTCTTGACTCACTGTATAAATTAGATCTATGTCGAGTACAAGAGCTCATGCTGGAGCAAAACCCTCCTGAGTGCAAAGACTGATGTCTGAATTTTGAAACTGAGAAAAAGGTGAACTCTATACAGAGGAAACTTGGCGCAGTGTCTTACTTTGACTATAATTTACATATATCCACAACATGCTTAGGTAACTTCTTGACGTACAAAGCAGACTTGCAACTTCCGGCTAAACATGCTTTTAACTGGAAGGCCTTCGCCTGTTTTGTCAGATCTGGGCACGTGTGCAGATGGACTACTTGTGTCAATGAAGTACAGGTTAAGTTCTCTCCGATCTCAAGGAAATCAGGAAAGTTGGCAATCTCAAAATAATAAAAACACTGGTATGCATTCAAACCTTGCATAAATAACATTTTAAACAATTTGTACAAAAATAGTTCTGCATAATGTAAGATGTAACAAAACCAAAGAAAAATATAAGTCAAGGGCAGCAGATGTGGTGTGTGGTCCACTGTATGTCGACACCGAAAACCCTGGCCTTGCAAGGAACGAGGTGTCCAAAACGAAAACACCACCGCCAACAAAACTCCTAAGCTCGTGCTCCAATAAGAGAATTTCTCCCGAGTCCACCTTCCTCTCCAACAGGAATGTCTTCTTGGTAAAGGCCTCCTTAGAAATGGTCCAGAAAGCAGTGCAGTTACAACCAGAGAGAGCACAGGAAAGCGTCCGGCTCACTCACGCCCGAAACAGGTGATGAAACTGCGTCTCCCCCGGCAAGACTTGCAAAATGGAATCATTCTGTGGTCTGTTGTTCCAAGTTCCAAATTGAAAATAAAACCCTAGTTTTGGTAAAGTCTTTTGCCTTCCCCGCCACATCGCCCCGCCCCCCCCCCCCCCCCAGTATTTACATACTTGTCCTTGGACTAACTCAGTTTCTGCAGGAGTTTTTCTTCCACTTGTCCAAACTGGACACTCACAGACATTTCGGCTATGAACTGCTCACAGCCTTCCTTGGTGACTTGCTTGCAGTACCTCAGGTCTATATGACAGATATTGCCACAGCGTTTGAAGAAGGACAGGCACTGATCAGTAACCTTATTGCAGTCTGCGGGGAAGAGAAAGCAATGTGAGGTGGTGGAAGCGCGGAGCTCGAGCACCCCTCAAGCTCCTGGGGCCTGCAAGGAGCCCCTGAAGCCCTAGGAAAGCTGTACTTGCTGAGTGGAGCTCTTCGAACGTTAATGTAGCAACCATGCAGACTGTTCCCAGTGAGTCACTGACAATCATCCCACACGTCGCCTCTTTCTGTGTCAGCCTCTCCCCGCAACGGGTCTCCCGCCTCTCCTGCTCTACAGAGACAGGAGCAACGACACCAAGTAAGCTTGTAAGTCGCTCTCCCCTCTACTGTCCCGCTGCTGAAAACCTCCAGGGGCGTCACTGAGCACCTATCTGCTCATCCCCAGCTGCGTTCCAGGGAGCGCTGGGTGCGGTGAGAACATCTGAAGGTCATCTTAGGGACCTTTGCTCATGCAGGCGCAGGCGCAGGCACAGGCACAGGCACGAGACGCTTCCCTGCGCCCTGTGCGAGGCCAGCGTGCGAGGAGGGGCTGGGGGAGCAAATTCAGAACTCGGAATCCGCCGCGCCTTCACCCTGTGACAGTCTACAAGTGTGTGTCGATTTGTACTTGGCTTCTGCCATCCTCTTTTCAGCCAACCGGGGCTCGGCCCGGGGCAGATGAGTGACCCTTGTCACCAGCAACCAGCACCGCACTTTCACTTTCCCGCCGAGTGGGAATAAAGGCCTGAGGGCAGCCCGCAGGACGCACAGGCGCCTGTGCCGTCTCCACACTAGCACGGTCCGCGCCAGACAGGTGGCGCAAGGCAGTATGGTCCACCCCGCCGTCACCAAAGGCCTGACTGCCGCCACGCTAGTCACCCCTTTCAGAGTCGCAGGGGTGACTCTGGAATCTCTGCACAGACACTCACCAGTCCCAAGACGCACGTTTCAGACAAGGCGAACAGAACCTGATCTTCATGAACTGGGGCAAAGTGGCAAGACACTGATAGAGACGCTTCAAAGATAACATCTGTTTTCGCAATGGGACCCCCCTTAATCTAATCCCTCAAGTATTTCCCCCAAATGGCGTTCTCGAGGGCAGGGTCACGCGTGTCCTCACACCCAACATGGCAACATAACCACGGACACGCAAGTATCGCCCAGCGTGGAACCCCCAGCCCCCCGATGCTGGCCGCCTGACTGACCTGACAGGTTGATTTCAGTTAAGGAGTCCCGGGTGGTGGTGCCCACAGCGGTGAGCAGGTTGATGGACTGGTCAGTGACGTGGTTACAGTAACTGAGGTGGAGCTTGGAGAGCAGGGGCATGTGGCGTATGATGAGCCGCAGAGAGGCGTCCGTGATGTCCAAGCCCGCCAGCCGCAGCTCCACGATGTTCCGGAGCTTGCTCCGATTGTCCATCTGACCTGCGGGGCAGGGGAGAGGGCGCTCCAGTGCCTGGGACGGGCACTCAGGCCTCGTCCAGCCATTGAGTGCCCCCCGCCCCCACAGGCCAGCGCTAGTTCTGATATTTAAAAATCGGAAGGTTCCACATCACATTTTTACACTTCTAGATTCTCAAAAAATCCGAAGACAGAGAATCACTGAGCCCACATCTCACCCGGCCACCCTCGGCCGACAGAAGCCCAGTCTGGATCACCACGGTTTCCCGTCTATGTGAGCTGGCGAGGAGCGTGGCCCCCACAACTGACCTCAGTGGCCCCCCTTGTGAATTCCCATCCAACCAAACTGACCCAAATGCTCCCGGAGGCTTGAGGCCAACGGAGGGCAAACCAAGAGAGGAAAGTCAAAGGCACGCAGAGCCCACGCAGCCCCTCCGCGCCGACACTGGCAGAGCGTGGCGGCCGGGGCCTCTCGCGTCCTTTGGAGACAGGCGGAGGCCAGGAGGCCTGAGGATGCGCCCAGGGGGAGCGGGTGGTGGAAGCCCGAGCACCCCGCTCACTCACCCGGCCTGTTATCTGTGGGTGGGGACAAGAGGTCCCGCATCTGGGCGTCCTTTAGTCCTTCCACCCACTGGACATCCAGGGTCCGGAGCAGCGGGCAGCTGGAGCTGCAGAGGGCTGAGACTGCGATCCACGAGCAGCCCGACAGCACCAAGTCTCGGAGCCCTGGGGGCAGAGAAGGGAGCGGCGGGTCAGGTGATGCCCCGAGCCCTCACTAGTGCACACTCGGGGCCGTGGCCCGGTGCTCACCAGGCAGCCGGTTGATGAGCCAGCTCAGCTGCTTCTTGGAGATATTGGTCCAGCTGAGGTCCAGGGAGACGGGCTGCCGCCGGATGATGCCGCTCAGCATCAGGGGCGTGATGGACTTGCAGTGGTTCAGGTCGATGCGGGTCCATAACCGCTTATCGCAGCACCTAGGGGTAGGCCCGGCAGAAGGGGCGCTGTCAAGAGTTAGGAGCCCCCTGAAGAGCTGTGGCTACACCCACCACCTACCTACTTCAGGGGAGGCTCCTTGATCTCACCCTTGGGATCCTGCCATTTAACTCCTAACTTGCCTCATTGAATATCCAGGCCTCTGTCAGGACCTCGCTGGGGGCTTTGCACTCCAGGCCTCGCGCCCATTCAGTGACTCGGCCAAGGCCAGAGGGCCATGGAACAGCGGAGCGCGGCTAAGCGCAGTAACCACTTCCCGCAGGCCACCCCTGTACAGACAAGGGCTGCCCTTCTGACAGGACCACAATGACTGCACTGCTGGGCCCGCCTGCGCTCAAGGGGCCCAATTCAGCTGTCCCGGCTCCAGAGGGTAAGGCCTTCAGGAGTGATGCAAATGCCCACCGCACAGGGCACCTCCTTGGTCTAGCCCAAGCCCAGAGCCCCACGGGCTGCCCCTGGCGGCCTCCCCGGTGCCACGGGGCCACCGCCCCTCACCAGCGGTTCCAGGTCCTGCAGACCCGCATGCAGACGCACAGGTCTTGGTGGCTGAGGTAGCTGAAGACGGCCATCCACACCTCCCGGTGCATGACGTGGGCTGCCCCGTCATCCAGGGGCAGCGAGTCAGGCGGGGGGCTGATGGGGGGCGGCCGGATCACGTGTCGCTCCATCTGGATGCACTTGGGCGGGGACACGGAGGGAGGGGGCCGGGAGATGACGCGGGGCGGGCTCCGCAGGCCGGGCCCCAGCTGGTGCCGCAGCTCCCGGGGGGTGCCGTTGAGCCCCTTGCTGAAGCGGTGGGGGCGCTCGCAGAGGCCCAGGGGCCGCTTGGGCTCCTCGTCGCTCTCGGGCTCCGACTTGATGGGCTGGTGGTTCTCGTTGGCCAGGCTGCTCTCCGTCTTCTGGATCTCCTGGTTGAGCTCCTTGCTCAGCTCCTTGCTCAGCTCCTTGTTGGGGAGCCGCCTCTTCCGGCGCATCTTGACCTTCTTCTTCTCCTCGGGGCCCTCGGCGCCCTCGGTGCTGGGGCCCGCCGTGGGGGAGCTGGAGCGGGAGTGGTCGCTCTCCCGGGTCTTTGGGGGGGCCTCGGGCAGATCATCTTCGGGCTCTTGCTTGAAGCGCCGGAGGGGCTTGGCGAGCGCCATCCGGTCCTCCGCGTTCTTCCAGGAGCGCCGCTGCGGGGGAGGGCGCAGTGAGGGGGCAGGCCCGGGCCGTGGGGAGGTGCCCACCCGGGCCGGGCCGGGGCGAGGCGAGGGGAAGACGGTACCTTTTTCCTGAAAAGCTTATCTTCTTTGCCAGGCTTGAGCTGTCACGGGAGAGAAAGGAGGCAGGGCTTGCTCCGGGGTCGGCGGGCGCGGGCCCCGCCAGCCCAGCCCAGCCCGGCCCGGCGGCACAGCGCTCAGCGGGGGCTGCAGGTGAGCGCGCGCCCTGCGGCTCCTGAGCGGGCCCTGCCTGCTGCCTTTGAGGAAGGGGCTGGGGTGGAGGCGTGCGGCCAAATGGCCTCCCCCAGCGGCCCTCCCGCCCTCCCCCGAGATGTGCCGCGGCCGGTTCGGGCCCGGCTGGGCCCTGGGAGCCGGCCCGGGCGGCCCGCGAGCCCTCGCCCTGGGCCTGCCTGGCCCCGGCCGGCCGGGCGGAGACGGCCGGGCGCCCCCTCGTGGCCGCCGCGCGCAGGGCAGGCAGGCGGGGCCGGGCTCCGGGCTCCGAGCTCCGGGCCCGCCCTGCCCGCGGCGGCCGGGAAGCTGCCCCGGCTCCGCCGAAGGGCGGTGGGCGGCCGGGCCGGGCCGGGCAGGGGCCGGGCTGCCGGCGAGCAGGCGCCTGAGCGCGGCCGCGCGAGGGCTCCGAGGGCCAGGGGCGGCGCGGGGCCGGGACGGACCCCGGGGCCTGGGGCGGGGCGCGGGAGCACCTGCTGCTGGAAGTAAGTGAGACTGGATCTCCACCAGGGGCTGAGGCTGCTGCCTAGAGGGGGCCTCGGCGAGAGGTGAGAGGAGGAACCGGGGGACGTTTGAAGCGTCGAGGCCTAAAGGGGTGGGAAGAGGAGTGACTCGCAGGCGCGCCCCCTCCTTGCTTTTGGGCCGGGCTCTCGGGATTCAAGTGACCTGCTCCGGGCAGCTCGAGGCCGGGACCCCGGGCCCCGCCCCCGCCCGGCCCCCCGCCGACCCCCGCCGGCCCCCCAGCCTGCGCCCCCCGCCCCGGGCCGTACTCGCTTGCGTCCAATCAGCTCTTGCGGCTTCTCGTATTTCCGCTTCCGCCGCAGGTGCCCATCGTCCGACTTTCGGCGCAGGATGCCGTCGGGGGGCACCTTCTTGGGGTGCTCGTCCGACCTGCGCCGGGGCGCCTCCTCACACTCGCTCCTCCGCTTGGCCGGCTCCTGCCCGTCCTTGTTGTCGCGGTTCATCTTCTGCTCCTTGAGCAGCGAGCCCGGCAGGTTGGAGGCATACTTGAAGCCAGGGCCACGCTTTTGCTTGTAGGCCAAAAAGAGAGAAGCAAGAGCGCACTGTATACCGCGGCACCCCGCCGGGCCGGCGCCCTCGGCCAGCCGGCGCCCTCCTCCCCGCTGACCCCGCGGAGGGCGGCACTCACTTTCCCGGTCTTGCCGGCGTGGTTGCACTTCGGACACTCCCAGCAGTTGGGAAGCTCATCATTGACCACGCCCTCCGACTCCTTAATCTGCGAGGGACACAGCGCCTCAGCACGCGGGGAGGGGACCCGACAGCCCGGGCTGCCAGGCACACACCCCCTTCGCGGTGCCATCGCTGTGCCCTCTTTGGTCCAAAGAAAACAAGAACGGTTAGGACAGGTGGCTCTGGGTGTTCAGGGCAGGGTTCAACCCCGATCCTGGGAACCTGCTGCACCTCTGTGGGCCAGGGCTCGTCTGAGACGGCAGAGCAGGTTCCCAGAGTCCTGTGAGACTCCCACAGGGCGAGCTAAGTAATTAGCCCAGGGCTGGGCGCACGGAAAGCTCCCAATAAATTGTTCAGGAGCCTGTCCTGGGTGCTGGGCGTGAGCAAGGCAGATGTGCCCGGCCCTGCCCCTGCAGCCTCTGCTCTGCGGCAGCACGTCACCAGGAGATTAACACCACAGTCTGGCTTCTGAAGTCAGGGGAGAATCACAGCACGCCCTCCGGAGTGTGTGTGGGAGCATGTGCATCCAAACAACCCCCATTACTGCCACGGCGAGGCAGCCTGAGAGCCGAGGTGTCACTTGGGGCGGGTCTGTGCTAACCTCTAAGCCACAGAGCCACCTGGGCTGGCACGGAGGCGGCAGATATGAGCACCTTATGAGCACCTTCTCCTGGGACGGAGGCTGTGTGCCGGCCCAGAGCCATCTCTTCCTCAAAGGTGTACCCTGTCACCCACGCCAGGCAGGCCCAACCCAGAGGTCCCCTGCCCTGCCCTGGGCACACCAAGGGAACAGGTTTCCAGCACACAGGAATGGGAAAGCACCATCGCTGTCAGAGACCCGCCCCACCCAAGCCCTGTCCTCCCAGAAGCCCCAAGCCAAGACACCAGCCAGCAGCCCAGCCAGCAGCTGCTGTAGAGTGCAAGACAGCGGTTTGTGTAGGCTGGGACTCGGCCCTCTGTGGTTGTGAGGTGTTGGAAGGGTGTGCTCATTCCCTCAAAGGCATGCGTGGAAGGGCCCAAGCTCCTGACACACTGACTCCCCCAGGCCCGGGGGTCCTCCAGACGAGGAACCTAAGCATCTCCCACGTAGCACCCCCAGAGGCCCGGGGAGCCTCCGCCCGGGTGGGTGGTGGAGTCAGAGCCCCAGGGGCTGCTCACCTTAAGGCATCCAGGGTGGATGATCTCGTTGCAGATGGAGCACTCCATGAGCATGAGGTTGAACTTGCCTTCCTCCTCCTCCACCGTGTCCTCCTTCCCCGCCTCGCCGCACACCAGGCACACGGCGGTGTGGGGCAGCACTGGCTGCAGAGCGGGACAGCACAGGCGAGTGAGCAGGCCTGGGAGAGGCCGGCAGACCAGCCTAGGCACCGCCCATCATTCACTCGTTCACTCTCTCATACGTGCAGCACCACCCGTGCGAGCCGCGCACCGCTTGCGCGCGGGGAGAGAGCAATCACTGAGACAGACACAAACCCGTCACCCTGAGATGGGGGCAGAGGGAGGGAGACGCATCAGAAACAACAAAGTCACATGATGACGATGAGGGGGGACAGGGAAAGCATCAAGGGCCAGGGTCTGGGGTGCAGGCTGGAAGGGGGCAGATCTGTAGTGTGGAGTCAGGGAGACCTCACTTGAGGAAAGATCTGAAGGAGGTGGCGTGAGCACAGCCCACCTCTGTGAGGATCGAGGCTGCACCTCACTGTAGAGCAGGGTGCCTGGGCTCCAGGGTCCCCGAGGCCTTCCAGGGAGGCCTGAGAGGCCCACCTTCTGGGGAATGCAACTGCCGGCCTCACCCACTGTGCTGACATGGAGCCCGACAGGGCAGGGGCTCCAGGCTGGTGCTGGCCTCACACCCACGTGTGAAGTCTTTGATGAAACAGCAAACATGACAAATTTTATAGAAATGCTGACCGTGAGTATCCAGCCTTTAATATTCCGTGTGACATAAGAACTTCCCCCATGGCCGAGGCCGAGGCCATGGAAGGCGAGGATGTGGCTGCTACGCCATGAGCTGAGCCAGCCCCTTCTCCAGGGACATCATTTGTGCTTGAAGAAGTGGCTGATTTAAAAAACAAAACCAAAAAAACTAACCCATGAGTCCCAGCATGTCTTGTCAAAGATGAAAGTCTGTCACTTGCAGAAAAATAAGTGGCAGCATTTGTTGCCAATGATAAAATTCGAGTTTTCAAGTGGAAAATCAGAATTTTGGAAAACTTATATTAGCCACCACAAGCTGGGCAGCTTCCCAAGAAAGACTTTTCTGACGAGCTGGCTAATGATGTTAACACAGAACTTTTTCCATCTACATGACGTGATGCCACGTGCCAGTATCTGAAGAACCCACAAAACTTGCAAGCCAGTATTTTCCAAATGACCAGCGCTGGGGGCTAGAATTCAGCAGGAGCGAAGCAGTTATTCAAAGGGCAAGAAGACCAATGAATTTTAATGTAACAGTTTGAAAAGTTCATGGATACAGTTTCAAATTCCAGATTGCAACTAACCTTTAAGAAACTGAAACCTGTTGAGTTCTGGGGGCTCTCAGGAGAAGCTCTGAAAGGCTATTAAAAGTCCTCCCCCTTTCCAACCACAAACCTGTGTGAGCCCTGATTTTCCTCCTATGGACCCTTCAGAACAACATCCCACAACAGCACGAACACAGCAGCAGATAAAAAAAGCCCTGGGTCCTTTCTAAGGAAGCAGACGTGAGAGATTACAAAAATAATCTAACAACCCCATCCATCCCACCCATCTTTTTTCGGTTGGGAAGACAGACTTTTCATTATAATGTCATTTTGTTAACATGTAGTGGGTTTGTTATTTTTAAATGAAGTGAAATAGATTTCAATTATTACAGCAAAATTAATAAATAGCCCACATAAAAAAGTTCTTCGGGATCCTTATGATTTTTAAGCGTATAGGCCGAGGCCGAGGCCCCGAGTATGCGGCCGGGAGACTCACACTACACATGACAATGTAGCCGGGTCCAAAGGAAACACACCTTTTAAACTAAGTTAGAGGCAGGTCAGGTGAGCTGGGACCATGCACGCCACTGATACATGCAAGTCTGTGCAAAACTGTGCAAACAGCTGAAATCAAATAGAACGTGGAAGGTAAAAGCCATCATTTATTTGACAAATGCTTAAGGGCCACCTGCCCGAGCCAGAAGCAAGTGACAGAGAAGGAGCTGTAAGGTGGAAATAGCTACCCGGGGGGTTGGGGCAATGAAGATATATGGCACATGGCACTGGAGTTGCAGGAAAACATGGAGAAGCTGCACGCAGGTGTCATCAGAGGCAGCGGGGCTGATGTCTGGTAGACCCACAAGATGGAATCGGGGTGCTTCCGTAAGAAGGGTCCTCTAAGAGGAGAGACTGTTGTGAACAAGGAGAGAGAAGCAAGAGCTGACACACATGTCCTGGCTGCAGGGATCGGACTGGGCTGTGTGGGGAGCACTGGGGGGCAGGGGGCAGCCTGGGATGGTCCCTGATGGGGCAGGGACAGGAGACTGGCCAGGTGAGGAGAAGCAAAGCTGCCAGAGAGCCAAGTGAGGGAAGCCGGGCCTGGCACTGCCTGGCAGGAAGGGATGTGACAGTGTGGAGGATGCCTACTGGTGAGGGAGCAAAGGGAAGGCTGGCCCCGGGAAGAGCTAAGAGGCTAGAAAGAAATGAGGCCAGGCTGCATGTGGCAGACGGGGGCAAACATGGCAGGAAGGTTCCTAACTCTGAAGAACGGCCGGAAGAAGGCAAGAAAGGTCTGTGAGCCAGGCCAAGGTGACATTTGCTATCAAGTCCAGAAACAACGTCAGGCTGGCAAGGGGGAGACACACACAAGTCAGTTTCCTTCCCCCAACACTCGCTGTGCAGGCACCAGGCCAGGCATCGGCATGAAGCGGCCGGGTGAGAGCAGAGACAGGTTCCTGTAAGGGGGCCAGGGACACCAGGGGTAGAAGAGAAAATCAGGCTTGCGAGGAAGAGCCAGTCCTGGGTCACTGCCACATGCCAAGTTTTTGGCGACACTTGTCAAAAACCAGCAGTCCCTACAGATGACCTGTCTCAAATGCGAGCAGAACACGAGTCCCACAGACCCTGGCTCCAGAAAAATGCACCTCCCTGCGTGCAAACAGACAAGACGCTGTATTTGGGAGCTCCCAACTTCTCTGAAATCCATCAAAATCACCTAAGGAACAGGAAACAGTTAGAAACACAGCAGTGACATGTAAAGAAGGCAAAGGAAATAGTTGGTAGAGCACAAAGGCAACCCGCAAAAGGTGTTTACAACCATCCACATAAGCTGCTGATGCCCAGAATGCGCAAGGACCAAAACCATCCAATTTAAGATGGGCAAAGGGTTTGAACAGACGTCTCCAAAGACTTGCAAGTGGCCCATGAATGTAAGAAGCTCAACATCACTCACCTTCAGAGAAACGCAAATCAAAACCCAATGAGCTATCACCCTGTCCCCATGCAGAGCCCCACTATCCTTCTGCCACCCCCCACCCCAATCAAACCCAAAACAACAGAAAATAGCCAGTGTTGGTGAGGCTGGGGAAGCTCGCATGCCTGTGCACTGTTGCTGGGATGCGAAATGGAGCATCCTCTGTGGGAAACAGAAGGGAGAGTCTTCGAAAAATTTTAAGTACAACCCCCGTCAGATACAGCGATCTCACTGCTGGGTATTGGACCAAAAGAATCCAGAAAGGACCGAGGAGGCGCCGCCACGTCCGCCACAGCACGCTCCACGGCAGCCAGGAGGCGGGGGCAACCCGAGCACCAGCAGAGCAGACGGGTGTGCACATCTCTGGAGTACTACTCGGCCTTCACAAAGAAGGAAACCCTGTCTCCGGCTACAGCATGGGTGGCCGCGGGGGGCACGATGCTAAGTGAAATAAACCAGTCACAGAGGGACAAGCACTGCCGGATTCCACAGCATCTGAAACGTCATGCTCAAAACAAAACCAAAGGAAAAAGGAAAAAAAAAAGAAGAAGAAAAAAACATTTTAAGTAGAAAAAACAAACCCATCGAATAGTCATCCTGGTAGACACGGAAAGCAGAAAGGCAGCTGCTGGGGCTGGGGGCAGGAGAAAGGGGAGCGGCCGAGTGGATATAGTTTCAGTTTGGCAAGATGAGAAAGTTCTAGAGATCGGTTTGCACAGCAATGAGCACATAAATAATGCGACTGTTCTGAACAGTTAAAAACGGCAAAGATGGTACATTTCATAGTTTGCGTCTGACCACGATACAGAAAGCCAGAAAGAAGGCAACACAGCCACGCAAGCGGTGCGTGTGGCGGGGGAAGGGGAAGTGCCTGGGCCTGACGGGGAGCAGCCGCCACCGGGGAAGCCGGATGCCAGGCAGGGTTTGGAGGAGCTCCCGGGGCCAGGAATCCCGTCTCTCCTGCTGAGCCTGCTTTCCCACAGGAGCAGAGAGGACCCTGGGGCCCTGGGAGTAGCGCCCTAAGGAAGGCAGAGCCTGTGGGTGTGCGCGGGGGTGGTGCCCGGCAGACCCCAGGGCCGTGCCAAGCTGCTGAAACTGCGTCCACTGCCCTTTCCTGGGGCAAGGCCAGAGGGGAGGCTTCTGTAGGCGCTGGCCGGGTTGCCAGCGGCCCCTCGCCCAGACCCTATAAATCAGCCGTCTCGGTCTGGGGTAGCCCCTCAGGAGGGCACTGACCTTCCGCCCAGACCTCTGACTTTGAAGGCAGGACAGGAAGGAAGGGAGGGCCCGGCACCCTCATGCGCTGGGCCATAAATGCTGGCCGTGAGGTCACAGGCAGGACAGGCTGCCTGACATCTTTAACGGCGGAGACTTCAAAGTGCTGGGTCGCTCGGCAGAGGAAGGAGTCCTTGGCCAGCAGACCCCCGAGAGAGAGGACCCGCGCACGCGGCGGGAGCACCCCGTCCGACAGTCTGCAATCTGAACACAGCACTGGCCCCAGCGCCTCCCCTCCTGGCAGGGAGCACCTCCTGGCGCTTCGGCAGCCAGAACATTCTCTAAGCAGAGGGCGAGGATGGACTGCGCGGAGGAAGAGCTGCCGCCTCCGCCCGGGGCTGCACTCACCGCAATGCACTGCCTCATGATGCAGCTCTGCTTCATGCGCCCGGGGCCCCCGAACTTCTTCATGTCCTTGCAGAAGTGGCACTCTCCGCACTCCGTCCGCAGGCAGGCCTCGCACTTGCGGCATCGCGTCCGGCGCCGGCGAGCTCCCGCCGTCGTCCGGTTGGCGGCCAACTTCACTGAGGAGGCCGGGCCCAGCTTGCCCTTGGGCCGACCTACTGCCCGGTTCTGCAGGAGAACAGACAGGCTGGTGAAAGGGGGGCGGGTGGCAGCCAGACCCCCGTGGAGGCCAGGAGTTGAGCTGTCCGCACCGAACAGGAGACGCGTGGCAGCCTAAACCCAGCACCTCAGGATGGGACCCGCCTTGAGGTCATCAAATGAAAATAAGGCTGACTGGGTGGGCCCTGGTCCAACGGGACCGGGGGGCGGGGGGTCGGTATGCAGGGGACCGCACCAGGCCCCCAAGCGGCACAGGTAAACACGGGCGAGGACGGCCACGTGGCCAGCGCACCCAGGGACGGGACAGCAAGGACAGCCAGCAGACACAAGAAGCTGGAAGGGGCGAGGCAGGACCCTCCCCAGAGCCTGCGGAGGGAGCAGGGAGCCCCGATGTCAGGTTTCTGGCCTCTAGTGCTGTGAGAATACATCCCCCAGTTCTGGGTCCTTGGTCAGGACGGCCCCAGGAAGCGCCCAGAGGCGCCAGCGCAGGATGCCCCCCTCCTCAGCCAGGCCCAGCTATTTGTGTTTCTCCAGAGAGGCCTGCGAGGCCACACCGTCAGCCTCTGTTCCCTCTGCCAGGGGAGCATGGACCCCTCCCCATGCCACGTGGCTAAAGCCGCTCACCCCGCGAGGACTGGCTGACATGCTGTGGCTTTAGGCAGCCTCCCTGGCCACCCTGCCCTGGCCTGGGGCACCTCCTGCAGGCCCCATCATGCCACTCAGCCAACCATTGTTTCCGTGAGGGTCTCCCCTGTGGTGGGGGCACAGGCCATCAGCAGGGGCGTCTCGTGCCCAACTTTTCGGCAAGATGGTCAGCAGGCAGGACAGCTCGATCTACCATGCAGCCCCAGAAGAATGCGGTCAGGACGCCAAGGAACCTCATCCTCGGAGAGCTCCTTGCACATGGGCTCCCAATGCTCTCAGCTGGGGCTTGGGGGGACAGTCGGAACACAGTGAGGGGACAGCGAGGAACACAGCAGGTGCCACATGCTCAGTGGGGCCGGCTAGCCACAGCCCGGCCTCAGGGCCCCACCTCCTGGCGGCCAGCCCCCGGAGGGCCCTAAGGAGGTCCCTTGTCTACTGAGGAGCAAAGTGGAGAAGCAGGAGGGCCAAGGGTGTCCGTCTGCAGAATCTTTCTGCATCACCCGACCTTGCGGGAAAATGGTTCACCCTCTGCAGGAGACGTGCTCACTCTGAAGCCATCGGACCCAACTGACACCTAATGCTTAAGCCCCTTCTTCAGCCCAGCCCCTTTCCAGTTCTAGCTGCCGTCACACAGGGAGCCCCGGCCAAATTCCAGACTCTCGTTAACTCCCAGCCTGGCCCAGAAGAGCAGTCATATGACCATGCAGTGCAGGGTGCCCCCTTCCAGAAACACTGTACCCCAACACCACAGGGGCTGCCCGGGACTGGACGGCGACACAGCCTCCCCCCAGGAGCAACGCGTCACCGCCACCGACACGCTTCGGGGGGGGGGGGAGTACACCACCCCCTCAGCACACACCCTCCTTTACTGCCCCAAGTGGATCCTGCCCTCAAATCTATTTTCCCAACAGCCCCAGCAGGCAAGGCCTCTGCCCCACAGGCCACCTTGGGAAGCACCATGATGGCGCTTTAGCCCGTTCGACTGCCCTGAACTTGAGAGAAAAGGGAGGTGTTGGGCCAATTCCACTGGCCCATCTGTCCTGCCCTCCTCGCCCAGTTCCCTGCCCTGGTCACTCCCAAGAGCACTGGACACTCCAGACACAGGCAGCAGGGCCCACCCCTGTGGCAGCCTGGCCAGTGGCCTTGTCACCGGGGAGGGCACCCTAGCTGCTGCCTGGGAAGAGGCTGCTCCAGCACAAGGAGCCCCTCCTCAAGGCCCAGTGCACCAGTCCTTACCCACCCCAAGCCCAATGAGGGCTAGGGAGCCCCCTAGCTGTGCACACAGGAGTTCTCCAGCAAAAAGGCTTCAAGAAGAAAAATCAGCCACCACATCCCTATGTCAATTCAGGTCAGGTCTTGCTGGCAGATCAGCAGCTAAAAAAAAAGACCAGTGTTCAGTCTTTGGATTTGTGAGGCGCACGTAAGGGACCACGGGCCTGAAAATGAAGCAGCTGGCCAAAGACAAGCGGGGAGGGCAGGCAGCCAGGATGAGGATGAGGGCGCCAGAAGGCGGGCACTTGCCACACGCCGCTACTGGGTTCATCTTTTTACATGTGACATCACCAGCTCCCCAATAGTGCCGCTGCGGGAGATGCAGTTTCTCAAATGAGCTAGAGCTGGAGTGACCTAGCCAAGGTCAGGGAGCCAGCAGGGCCCCTGCACAACCCAGCCTGGGCACTGAGCACCGCAAGCACAGTGATGTGTGGGTGAAGTGGGGTGAGAACCCCCCGCAGTCCACTGGAACTGACCACTCAGCCTGGAGGGGTTCAGTGAACGCCAACCCCCTGAGGACGAAGGCACCACCCGGAGGCACAGAGATGGCACATATTTCCTGAGGAACAGGCCCCAGGAAGGTGTGTCCCTCTCGTCAGAGCCCGAGACACTTTCCGATTCTGCCCCAATGAAGAGCACGTGGCCTGTTACCAACTTGGCCCTCGAGCCCCTGAGAAGATGCTCCCCGGTGAGCGATTCTCAGAGCCTCGAGCCAAATCAGAGAGTGTGATGCAAGGTCAGCTTCCAAGGATAAAACCAGAGGTGCGGGCTCACCGCTAACCCTTGGGGCAGGAGGTGCCAAGGACTGAAGACAAGTCTAGGAGTCCGAGTAGTCAGGAGCTCAGGTCCAGCGGCCACCACACCTCTGGCCTTGCCAGCCAAGAAGCCAGCGTCTCCCGGCGCATGAAGCGCAGTCGTGACTGAGAGACCAGCAGGCTTCCCGCCTCTGGAAAACACCAAGCTGCCTGGTTCTTGACAGCACCGGAAACACCCTGGCAAGGACAGCCCCAAGGAGAGGTATGAGGAGCAGCTGTGTCTGGGCACCTTGTTTCCGAGGCCCTCTCATCCAGCTGCGGAAAGAGGCCAGAAAGGCTGCCGCTGCCCCAGCACCGGGGCCGGCCCGGAGGAAGCAGGCAGCTGCTGCTCGCAGGGGGTGAGGGTGCTGCACCAGAGAGGCAGAGCCCTCACAAAGGCAGTGGGCAAGGCAACAAATGAGAAAGCCACCGGAGGGTCTCCATCAGGGAGGGAGGCCAGCCGGAGCCCCTCGTGTTGGCACAAAGCTTCTACCCTATGCTCTTTTGGGCACAACCTAAAGGTTCACAGCCAGTACTAAATTCCTCCCCCTCCCACCTCTGCCTCCGTGCATCAAGTAACCACTAAACCTCTGTGACAATCACAGCGTGAAAGGTTCTCAGCCCAGAGAAACCAGGGCATCCCCTGACTTCCACTGACAAACCAGCATCCCAACCCCAAGGCCACTTGCTGATTTTATCAGCCCAGGATCCATGTCCTCAGCTCCATCTGGTTAGGAAAATCCAGAATCCACAAGCCCACACACCAGCACACAAACTGTAGTATTCCCACATCTTTTTTCCATCAGCAACTCAGAAGCATTTCTTAAAGGGAATCCTCTCAAGACAGTTCTTTTTATTCATTCCACAAAATTTCACTGAGTGCCTCCTACCTCTCAGATCCTGTTCTCTAGAACAGGCAGAGGCAGAACCTCGTATCTAAAATACTGAGGTTAAAACTACTTGGATTGATCCAAATTAGTGAAAAGGCACCCGTCTTCATGGATTGAGTGAAAATACTGTCAAGATGACAATACTCCCCCCAAAGTGAGCTATAGACTCAACTCAGTCCTATTCAAATCCCAGCTGGCTCTTATTCAGAAATTGATGAGCTGATCTTAAAATCCATATGCAACCCCAAGAGACATGGAAGGGCCAAACAATCTTGAAAATGAAGAACCAAGTTGGTGGACACACATTCGTGATTTTAAAACTTATTACAAAACTACAGGAAACAAGACAGTGTGGTAAAAGCAGGAAGTGGCCTGTACACATGCAAATGAATGAAGCTGGACCCCTACCTCACACTATACATAAAAATTAAAAAGGGGATCAAAGACTTAGATTATAAAACTCTTAGAAAAAAAGTTAGGATAAATCTTCATGCTTTGGATCAGGCAATGGTTTCTTGGACATGACACCAAATGCACAGTAACAAAAGAAAAAGATGAATGGAAACTGGACCACAAAACGAAAAACTTTTGTGCCTCAAAGGACCCATCCAAGTGAAAAATCCCACAAAATGGTATCAAATATTTGCATATCACATGTCCGGTAAGGGACTAGTATCCAGAGCACACAAAGAACAGTGACAACAGCAATTAAGACAAATACCTCAATTGAAAGAAGGGCAATGAATTTAAAAAGACAATAGCTCCTCCTTCCAAAAGCTATCAAATGGGAAATAAGCACGAGAAAAAGAGCCCAGACCACCAGCCAACAGCGTGGAACCTGCACCAGAGGAAAAACGTACCCGTGGATTCGATTCGCCTTCACTCAATCACCCAAGTGTTTTCTGGCTGTGAATGATGTACCGCGCTCAGGGCTGGAGCTGCAGAGACGTGATTCTGACTCTCATGGGCGGCCCCAGGGAGAGACAAGTGACCACATCAGCACAAGGCAACACCATGGGGCGATGATGATGATAGCAAAAGCTAACATCTGTCGAAGCATTCGCTTCTCAACATTCATATCAATAACTGACGAGGTAGGCATTCTTTGCATTTAGAAATGAGGAAAAGGAGGCACTGCACTGCACATTAAGTAACCTGCCTAGTGTCATTCAGTCAGTAACCAAGAAGGTGAGATAAGAACCAGCACAAGCATGATGTCCTAGAAGAAATGCCTCGTCTCACTGGGCAGGAGGTTGGAAAAGGGTCACAGACACAGAAGGTGGGGACCGAGGTACATCTGACAGGGAGAACAGGACCCTGCAGGCCACAGGCAGGGGTGGGGTTAGGGAGTGCATGCTGCAGACAGAAGGAAGGCTAAGATAGAGATGTGAAATTACACCATACATTC